AGACAGATAGTACCGAATCCTACGTTGTTTGATTTATAGACAGATAGTACCGAATCCAACGTTGTTTGATTTATAGACAGATAGTACCGAATCCTACGTTGTTTGATTTATAGACAGATAGTACCGAATTCAACGTTGTTTGATTTATAGACAGATAGTACCGAATCCAACGTTGTTTGATTTATAGACAGATAGTACCGAATCCTACCCTGTTTGGTTTAAATACAATTAAAACCTAATCCTACAACGTTGGATTTTAAAGACAGTTAATACCCAATCCTACACTGTTTGATCTCAAGACAGTTAATACCCAAACTGACATTGTTTGATCTCAAGACAGTTAATACCCAAACTGACATTGTTTGATCTCAAGACAGTTAATACCCAAACTGACATTGTTTGATCTCAAGACAGTTAATACCCAATCTTACATTGTTTGATCTCAAGACAGTTAATACCAAAACCGACATTGTTTGATCTCAAGACAGTTAATACCCAATCAAAGGAAGACGTGTAAGTATTTCTTCGTCAGTATCTTTTGATACTGTAATACTAACTGTGTTAGTTCTTTACTTGGTACAACAGTTTTATACTCAAATTACAAGATTGTAGATGAAACTAGTCACTAGAGACCTTACAAACTGTCCAACTTGAACTATCTAGTTCAAGTTGAATCATTTGTAAAGACTCTAGTTCAAGTTGGACAGTTTGTAAGGTCTGGACAGTTTTAAGGTCTCTATTTCAACTTGGATCGTTTTTAAAGTCTTGAGTTCAACTTGAACAGTTTGTAAGTTCTCTAGTTCAAGTTGAATCTTTTGTAAGGTCTCTAGTTCAACTCGCAGAGCTAGTAAGGACCGTAGTTCAATTCAGACCATTTATAAGGTCTCTATTTCACCTTGGATCGTTTTTGAAGTTCAACTTGGATCGCTTGTAAGGTCTCTAGTTTAACTTGGATAGTTTGTAAGGTCTCTATTTCAACTTGGATCGTTTTTAAAGTCTTGAGTTCAACTTGGACCGTTTGTAAGGTCTCTAGTTTAAGTTTAATCTCTTGTAACGTCTTTAGTTCAAATAGGAACGTTTTTAATATCCCTAATTCAACTTGGAACGATTGTAAAGTGTCTAGTTCAACTTCGACAGTTTTAAGGTCTCTAGTTGAAGTTGAATGATTTGTAAGGTCTCTAGTTCAAGTTTAATCATTTGTAAGGTCTGTAGCTCAACTTGGACAGTTTGTAAGGTCTCTAGTTCAACTAGTAACGCTTGTAAAAACTGTAGTTCAATTTGGAATGTTTGTAGGCTCTCTAGTTCAATTCAGACCATTTGTAAAGTCTCTATTTCAACTTGGATTGTTTTTAAAGTATTGAGTTCAACTTGGATAATTTGTAAGGTCTCTAGTTCAAGTTGAATCTCTTGTAACGTCTTTAGTTCAACTACGAACGATTTTGACATCCCTAATTCAACTTGGAACGATTGTAAAGTGTCTTGTTCAACTTCGACAGTTTTAAGGTCTCTATTTCAACCTGGATCGTTTTTAAAGTCTTGAGCTCAACTTGGACAGTTTGTAAGGTCTAAGTTGAAATAGAGACCTTATAAATGGTCTGAATTGAACTACGGTCCTTACTAGCTCTACGAGTTGAACTAGAGACCTTACAAAAGATTCAACTTGAACTGGATCATTTAAAGAATCTTCAATTATTAAACTTTCTGATTTACTGATTCAATATTTCAATGTTCAAAGTAAACGTTATATGTCGTACAATCCTAGTTTTTCAAGCCTTGATCGTTTATTGAATATCTATTAATCTTATGATCTTGATCTTGGATGTTAGATACTAAGTCGACGTAACGTTTAGAGTCAAAAGGCATTCTACTCATCTATCATATATTGACCATCTCTATGATAACAGGATCCATATTTTAAAGACTGACAAAGTTATTAAGAACATTTTTTTAAACATATAACTTTCATTTCAGATATAAACGCTTACCTTTCCCGGCTTCCATTATACGACCCAACCGTTTGAAAACTAAACAATAACAAGAGAACGTAGAAACCCTGCCAGGTTCTTGTTCGAGCCTCGAGAGGATACATTATCTCTTTACATGTTTCGAGAAGTATTCCAGCTATCACTGTTGGTGTCTTTTTTTAAAATTCAGGTTCTAATTTCAGAACTGGTAAACGTTTGAATACGACAGTCCTTCGTTTATTTCATCAAGATTATCCCCGTTAGTGTCACTAACAGTACAGAAATAAGTGTGTTGTTAACGTCAGATGTTCCAACTGGCTACGCTGTGTGTATGAAACGTAAATACAGGTGCCAAAGTACGGGTACACACGTCGTTCAACACGAGATGTAGTGTTTCTGTGGATCTGTAATCCAGCCCGAGTCAAGGACTCTGCATGCGTGTTAAACTGTGTTTTGTTATTAAGTGCTAAAATGTTGATATTTATTTATTCATATAAATATCTAACTTTTATTTCATACCTACAATATATATATATATATAGAGAGAGAGAGTTTAATTACTTTAGGGGCAAGCACTGTTTTATTCTTTTTCATATCAAATCGCTTTATAAAAAATAATTAACATCCAAGTATATCAGTTGAAAAACAATGAAACTGACGAGTATTTTATTGTTGTATTTTTCTGTTATAAGAAGCACTTATCTTTGAAAGTTCAACTTTTTACGGTTTGTATCTGTTCTTATTTGGGCTGTATAATATATTGTTATTGAATCCTGGTGTAAGGATTGGGGCTGTAGCAGTATGTGTTCGTCTGAGTAGTAAAGGAGATGAACATCAATTAGTCCTAGGTCTATCATCACAGTGGTCTAATATAAATTAGTCCTGGGTCTATCAACACGCTGGTCTAATATCAATTAGTCCTGGGTCTATCAACACAGTGGTATAATATAAATTAGTCCTGGGACTATCAACACAGTGGTATAATATAAATTAGTCCTGGGACTATCAACACAGTGGTATAATATAAATTAGTCCTGGGACTATCAACACAGTTGTTGAATATTAATTAGTTCTGGGTCTAACATCACTTGTGTTGTGTCTACCACTTTAAAATCAACACAGTTGTTGAACATTAATTAGTCCTGGGTCTAACGTCATTTGTGTTGTGTCTAACACTAAAATCAACACAGTTGTTGAACATCAATTAGTCCTGGGTCTAACGTCATTTGTGTTGTGTCTAACACTAAAATCAACGCAGTTGTTGAACATCAATTAGTCCTGGGTCTAACGTCATTTGTGTTGTGTCTAACACTAAAATCAACACAGTTGTTGAACATCAATTAGTCCTGGGTCTAACGTCATTTGTGTTGTGTCTAACACTAAAATCAACACAGTTGTTGAACATTAATTAGTCCTGGGTCTAACGTCATTTGTGTTGTGTCTAACACTAAAATTCAGCCAGATGCTGAACATCAGTTGTTCCTGTACCTAACACTTAAAATGGCACCAGTTTATAAAGTCATCATTTACCAGCCAATGCTGAACATCAGTTGTTCCTGTACCTAACACTTCAAATTCCAACAGTTTATAAAGTCATCATTTACCAGCCAGATGCTGAACATCAGTTGTTCCTGTACCTAACACTTTAAATTCCACCAGTTTATAAAGTCATCATTTAATAAAACAGTCTCGCCTGTTCCTTCCGCTTCAGTAACACATTTCAAGTGTCTAATATTTGAATCTTGAATGTAAGCAGTTTCATAGCAATGTATTTAAAACTAAAATCTGTAGCAAACCGAATGTGTTAAAACAGGAAACAAGCACTCAGTCAATGAAAGTTTTCATAACTCAGATTAACACCAGCTGTCACGCCCCGCAGAGAAGAACGTAAACGAACTCAATGTGGTTCGAACAACTCGACCGGAAACACTGATAAAAGAAAAAAAAAGTACTAGAAATCACGAAAATAAAATATCATATTTCAGCTCAGTATAGATCTCAAATGATAACAATTTATCAAGCTAAAGATACTAAAATAAAAGCGAACCCCCTCCCGGTTTACAATCGGGTTTCGATACCCGTGGTGGGTATATAGTACAGATAGCTCTTTATATAGCTTTGTGCTTAACGACGAACAAACTAACGTGGCAGTATTTGTTAAACAAGTTTATTTATTATTTCCAATTACTGCTTTATAACCTGTAATATCCAAGCGATTAACACAATTCCGTTAATCTGGCTCAGAGGTAAATCTCAAGGCATATAACGCTGAAAACCGGGTTTCGATACCTGTGATGGGCACAGCAGAAATAACCCAATGCCTAGTTTTGGGCGTAACAGTAACCAGATAAACGCCGTCATTCTAAGAAAACTGACTTTCTTTTACAGGTCCCTTGTGGGTCAACAGTAAGTCTACGGACGTATAACGTAAAAATCGAAGGTTCGATTCATGCTGCGGACAGAGTGCAGGTAGCCTATTGTGTGTCCTTGCACGAAGAAAACGCTACTAGCCCTCTTTCAGATTTTTAGGGTTATTTTATTAAATATTATAACTGTTAATTTGATTCAAATAAAACGATTTTTTTCGACTTACGATCATAAAACTTTCCCTTTTATTATTATTACGCTCTTTTTTCCCTTTTATTATTATTACGCTCTTTTTCCCCTTTTATTATTATTACGTTCTTTTTCCCTTTTATTATTATTACGTTCTTTTTCCCTTTTATTATTATTACGTTCTTTTTCCCTTTTATTATTATTACGTTCTTTTTTCCCTTTTATTATTATTACGTTCTTTTTCCCTTTTATTATTATTACGTTCTTTTTATAAAGTTGATTTCACCAATTCTAAATTGATATTAGTACCGCACTTTTTATCTTAAGTTCGCTATTTTGTTGGGCAGTGCGAGGTTTAACTGATTAGCGTGTCGGGCTGCGCATCGAAAGCTCCAAGGTTCGTGAAATGATAAAGTTTAAAACGTTGCGCACAAAAACGTGTCAATATTGGTAATAAAAGTGACGAAAGTTATATCAATGATTTAAAGAAATTTGATTCTTAAACAAAGCTGTATTTACATTCTATTATATATATAAATACTGAACTTATATAAATATCTTGTTAAATTTTAATGTATTTCTGATATATTTAAAACTGTGATCTAAGAAACAGCTGCTTTACTGGATAAATAACTTTGACAAGGTTGTTAACGGTAACATTAAATCTATGTTTGGATTATAAAAACAAATGGAACATATAACTGACTGTTTAAATTATTCAGCTGAGTGTCGTCAAAGTTCTGGTTTCATTAGACAAGACACGACGATTCATTGTTATTCGTGTTACGTACGTTAAAGGAATTCCCGCCTTACGGTCTTCAGAATTCAAGTTTGTGTAATCTCATGAGAAACCCTTTCCAACCTGCCCCCCCCCCCCCAGTGGCACAGCGGTATGTCTGCGGACTCACAGAATCCGGGTTTCGATACCCGTGGTGGACAGAGCACAGATAGCTCATTGTGTAGCTTTGTGTTTAATTACAAACAAACAAACTTTTCTTGATGCCCCCCAGTGGCACAGCGGTATGTCTGCGGACTCACAACGCTAGAAAGAGCACAGATATCCCATTGTGTAGCTTTGTGTTTAATTACAAACAAACTTTTCTTGATGCCCCCCAGTGGCACAGCGGTATATCTGCAGACTCACAACGC